GAGTTACTTGGCAAACTGGTACTACTGAATTCTAACTGAACTTTTTCTGGGGCTTAGTTTATGTCATTTTCAATTATTTAATTTCTTGAGATACATTTTGTATGTGTGACAGTTTCGATTGTCAGTTTTGGATTAAGAAGTGCTTAGGAGAGCCGGGCATGGTGGCACATGTCTTTAATTCCAGCACTTGGGAGGCAGAAACAGGCAGATCTCTGTGAGTTCAAGGCCAGCCTGGTCAGATGCATAGCGAGTTCCAGACCAGCTGGGACTACAGTTTTTTAAAAAAAAAAAAAAAAAAAAAAAAAAAAAAAAAAAGTTAGGAGATTAGCAAAGCATGTTCATGGTACGCCAGTGTCAACATTTCCAGAGATGATTAGATCTAGTGACTGGATAGAGCCTCTGATTAATTCATAATTTATGACAGTATTGAGAAGAGCCAAAATGTAGACGGTAGGGCCTAGTTGGAAGCATTAGCCTCTGGGGGTATGTCTCTGAGTGCTGTTCTTGCCCTGACCCTCTCCTGTGTTCTGTGTCTCAGCTTCCTGGCCTCCATGCCACACCCTCCCTACCATGATGGGCTGATGCTTCTAAAACTGTGAGCCAAAATAAATATTTCTACTTTTAAGCATATTTTCTCAGAAATTTCCAAAAAAACTCCAAACCTGACAAACACGTTTCCTTCATTATTAATCACTTTTGGTAGAAGAGCTAATTTTATCTACCAAGTTCAATTAAAGACAAACCTGTTTATAGTAACCTCTCCTAAAATAGAGATGTCTAGTTCTGCCTAGATGGCTGAAACATTTTAAGAAAACTCCTTAGAAATCAATATGAATAGCAGAATCTTTTCCTGAGAGGAAATGGGAGAGAACTGATTTATAATGTTACTAGTTAAATTAGCAGTGGGACGCTGGGCATGGTGGTACACACCTTTAATCCCAGCACTCAGGAGGCAGAGGCAGGTGGCTCTCTTTGAGATCAAGGTCACCCTGGTCTACATAGTGAGTTCCAGGCAAGCTGGGGTTATGGGAGACGCTGTTTAAAAAAGTTAAAATTAAATTGGCAGTGGGCAAATTTTCAATGGTTAAGAATTCCTTTAAAAAATAGAAGTCTTGGGGCTGTAGAGATGGCTCAGCAGTTAAGAACACTGACTGTTCTTGAAGAAGACCTGGGTTCAAATTCCAGCACCCACATGGTAGCTAACAACTGTCCATAACTCCAGTTACAGAGGATCTGGCAGCCTCTTATGTCCTCTGCGAGCCTTGCATGACATGGGTGCACTTACCTACATGCGGGCATAACACTCATACACATAAAATAATAAAAATTTAAAAAAAGATGTCATCCTAGATTTACAGTTAATGTTTTATCAATCATATAGATTAGCACAGCTTATGAAATACTATGCCATAAATTCTTGACCACTTATTTTGAGCCTATTTTTTCTCAAAAACAGCATAATAGGAGATGCAATTTGCAAGTGTATATGAACAATGTTTATTAATTCCGGTCATTTATATTTTGTTTTGTGGTGTTTCCTTAGACCTCTTTTGACTGTCCTTGAACTGTCTGATTATTCCCTATGAACTCTTAGGTGTCTCTGTCCTTCTTGTTCACAGTGTTCCTTCCAGTATCCTCTCTAGAACTGGCTTAGTGCTCAGAAATTCCTTTATTCTGTTTTCGTCATGTTTTTGTTTCTCCTTTAATTTTAATAGATAATTTTGCTGGATATGATATTCTGGGTAGACAGTTGTCTTTTGGAACCTAGAATACATCGTTTTAAGGCTCCTCTAGCTTTGAAAGTTTCTATGAGATAGTCAGGTGTTACTCTGATGGGCCTGTCTTACACGTTACTTGACTTTTATTGCAGCTCCTAATTTGCTTTATTCCATGTTTTAACTATAAAATGTCATGGGTAGTTTCTTTTTTGGTCTTGTCTATTTGGAATTCTGTAGACCTAGATGGGCATCTCTTTATCCACATTTGGGAAATTTTCTTCTATAATTTCCTTGAAATTATTCTCCATGCCTGTGGTATTCTTCTGTTCCCATAACTTGAAGCTTAAGTCTTTTCATAGTGACCCAGAACTTTCCCACTTTCTGTTCATATTTCTTTTTAAATTTATCATTGGCTCTTACTGAATGATCTAACTCCTCTACCTTGTCTTCCATCACTAAGTCTCTGTTTTCCATGTGATCCATTGTATTGAAGAGGCTTTATTTGGCTTACTGAGTTTTTCATTTCCAACATCATTTCATTTGGGGTTTTCTTTGTCAATTCTACCTCTATTTTCATATCTTGGATAAGTTTCCCTATTCAAAAACAAGGCTGTGGAGAAGTGGCAGCGTCAGAGCAAGTGTCAGTTTCTCAGTTTCTCTTTATAATTTAAATTTTTGTCCTTTTTTTTTTAAATGCTGGAGACCAAACCAAGGGACTTGTGCTTGCCAGATAAACACTCTGCCACCGTTGCTATTCATATAGAGGTGAAAGATCCTTGTTGCTAAGAAGCCAAATCTAGAATTTAGTCATGAGAGAGACAAAGGAGGCGGGGTTCTGTTCATTGATAAGGATCATGCAAACCATCTGGATGGAATGGGCCATGGAAATGAGTGTTGCCCCCATTGCAAAGTCATCCATCCAATTTGACTCTGTGTGTAAGTTGGCAACCAGAATAGTCTGTTAGATAATGTGAAATTTCTGGTTTTGTTTTACTTTCCTTTTTAAAGACATAAGTGACTTAAGCATAGATACAAATGTCATATCCAGGAAAAATGAAGAAAAAAGTAAGAAAACATGGGAGAGTTTGGGATATATATTGAATTAATGTCTCTCTTTCTTGGACTGGAAGCTGGGACGTGTCCAGTTGATTGTGTACTCCTTTTTAAAGCTTTTCACAAATATATAGTTCAGAGATTTTTTTTATAACTTTAATTTAGAAAGTATTTGACAGTGTCAGTGTAGTTTTTCCTCTCAAATTTGTATTGTAGAGGGTGAGGTGCCCTCAAATATGTATTTTAAGTGAGTATATTAGTTCATTTTCTGTAACATAATACTGAAGATAATGACCTTATGAAGAAAAATATTTATTTTGATTCACCATTTTTTAAAAAATTTATTTATTATTTTTATTTTATGTGTATGTGTGTACTGCCTGCATGTAGGTAAGTGCACCTGTGTCGTGCAATGCCCATGGAGGTCAGAAGAGGTTGTGTTGTCGGATCCCCTGGGACTGGAGTTACAGACAGTTGTTAGCTGCCATGTGGGTTCTGGGAAAGAACAACCAGTGCTCTTAACCGCTGAGCCATCTCTTCAGCCCCTATTCACCATTTTGTTTTTAGGTCCCATTCCAGTCCCTGGTTAGGTGGACTCGTTGCATGGGGCCTCTGATGGAGGCCAGAAGAGGGCAGCCGATTCCCTGGAACTGGAGTTACAGATGGTTGTTCACCAACATGTGGGTGCTGGGAACTGAACCTGGCTCCTCGGCAAGAGCAGCCAATGCTCTTAACCACCGAGCCAACCTCTCACCAGTCCTAATAAATCTTTTATAATGAATAAGGGAACAAAATTGGATGTATTACCAGTAAGACTGTGCAGAAATACCCCATTTTCCAAAAGTCTGTATGTTTGTACAAACACTGGGATTCTTCCCTGGCAGCCCTAAAATACCATCATTTGATGCCTTTGGCCTTTATTGCATAATTTCTCACTTTCCTTCTGGACATTGCCTTTTGCCATTGGTATTTTCTGATAAGAACAATGTTGTTCTCATATCTTTAGAGGAGTTTTAGGAATCTTTTTCCTCTTCTAAAGTTATAATAAGGATGAATACATTTTAAGTAGTATTCATTTGTAATCCAAGGTGTTCTCTCTGCCTTTTCATGGTACATAGAGATATACTAGGTATTGTAGAAGATACTAAATTGAATTACAGTCATGGACTCTTTGGTAAGGACTTTGCAATGTAGTACTTATGGATGAAGGAGACTGCAATATGGAGTCAGAAAATAAAGGAACGTTATCGTAAATCTTAAGACTAATGCAAATTTACATAAGAATTACGATTATTTCTCATTTCTCCAACTTTGAGAGTTGAGTGGGACACTATGGATAGTTATGCAAAGACAATAAATGTAAACTAATGTTATGTTGGAATGAACTCACATAAAAAAAATCACATAGCTAGATTACCATAGCCACTCAAACACTTGGCTAGTCCCAAAGACTGTACATCTCAACAAACGTCTACAAAGTTAGAGTGGCCGTTCTGAAGCTGTGGAGCCTCACTTAGGATTTTACAGTTTCACTATCAATTACATTTCCATGCACTTATTCACCACACACACACATACACACGCACACACGAGCACACACACGCACACACACACACGTACGTGCACACACATACACATACACACATGTGCACACACGCACACACACATACAAACACACATACATGCGCACAAACACACATGCACACACACGCACACGCACACACATACAAACACATGCACATACACGCGTGTACACACATGCACACACACGCAAACACACACGCACGCACACAAGTACACACACATACACTCACACACGCACACACATACACATGCACACATACACACACACACACATACATATGCACACACACATACACGTGCACACACATGCACACATACACATACACACACGTGCACACACACATTCACGCACACACACACACATACACCCACGCGTGCACACACACGCACACACACACGCGCACACAAATTAATGGAGTTAAAACTAGGAGAACAATTAGCTTTGTCCTCTTGTGTGATTCACAGGTGCTAACCTACATTCCGTCTTTACTCATCACCTGTTATCTCTTGTTCTCTTTTCAAATGTTGTGCTATACCCACATGTACTAATGTATACATGTACATCTACAAATGTCAACGCAAGGATCTACATACAAGAGAGAACATGCATTTGTTTTTCTTTCTGAGACTGAGTAGCCTTGCTTACTGTTATACACTCTGAGTCATTTTTCTGCAAAGTTTGTGATTTAATTTTTCTTTAGAGCTGAATGGTGTTCTCCTTTGTCTTACCCCCATTTACTGAAACCAGATTTGGAACATTTTCTTGACTCGTCAATGTTCTGTCACTATTTCCTTTTTCTTGCTTGCAGTTCTTACCTGATCTGACCACTTACCCCACACTTGTCTTTATTTTCACTTGCAGCGCTGCAGCTCTGAGGGTCCAACTCTGCCAGGATCAGATCCATGACGATCACCCCTTCACTCTGCATGGTGCTGGGGGAAGTGCCAGAACAGTAGATTCTCATACCCTGTCCTTTTCTGCTTTGGATAGATGACTTTATAATGTCAGATGTGGAGGCTGGACCACCCAGGAGAGTCACTGTTCTCCTGTTCTGGCTTAAGATGTTTCTGTCCCTTTCTGACCTCTCCCAGGCTAGAACTGAATATCTCAGTTCTCCAGAAGTGGTGATTCCCTTAAAGATGACCAGCAGGGTTCGAGGTGCAAAGATTCCAGGACAGCTCTCCTACAGCCTGGTGTTCGGAGGCCAAAAATATGTTGTCCACATGAGAGTCAAAAAGCTGTTGGTTTCCGCCCACTTCCCTGTGTTCACCTATACAGAGGAACATGCCCTCTTTGAGGATTTCCTCTTCATCCCTAGTGACTGTTACTATCATGGTTATGTAGAGGGGTCCCCCAAGTCTCTAGCTGCTTTCAGCACTTGCAATGGGGGCTTTCAGGGAGTGTTACAAATAAATGGCTTCAGTTATGAAATCAAGCCCGTTGTGCACTCCAGCACTTTTGAGCACCTAGTTTATAGATTAAACAACAACCAGACACAATTTCCACCCATGAGATGTGGTTTAACAGAGAAGGGACTAGCATACCAACACCTGGGACTTGACGTGACTGAGAAGTCAGCTGTGAGACATAATTCTGGTAGCTGGTGGACCCACACATGGTTTCTGGAGCTGGCTGTTGTGATAGACTATGATTTCTTCACTTACTTTCAAAGAAACTTGTCAAAAGTGCAAGAATATGTATTTCTTATTGTCAATATGGTGGATTCTATGTATCAGCAGTTGAATACTTATGTGTCTTTGATTGGCATTGAGGTTTGGAATCAAGGGAATGCTTTCCCATTGACAAGCATAAGCCAGGTCTTAGAAGATTTTGCTCAATGGAAACGAATCAATCTTTCTCAGCTACAACATGATGCTGCCCATCTTTTCATTAAAAGCTCACTCATACAAATACTTGGTATAGCCTATGTTGCAGGGATATGTCGTCCTCCTTTGGACTGTGGAGTTGAAAATTTCCGAGGAGACTCCTGGTCTCTCTTTGCTAATACTGTGGCCCATGAGTTAGGTCATACTTTTGGTATGCAGCATGATGAGGGATTCTGTTCTTGTGGGGAAAGTGGTTGTGTCATGAATTCTTTCAGAGTACCAGCAGAGAGATTCACCGATTGCAGCGCTAATGATTTTAAGAAAACCACTTCAAGCCAAGGATCTTGCCTGCATAATCCTCCAAAACCAGGGGAAATCTTCCTGCTGAAGCGCTGTGGGAATGGTGTAGTTGATGGAAAAGAGGAGTGTGACTGTGGATCTGTGCAACAGTGTGAACAGGACCCCTGTTGTTTGTCAAACTGCACACTGAAGCCTGGGGCTACATGTGCTTTTGGACTTTGTTGCAAAGACTGCAAATTCAGGCAATCGGGGGAACTCTGTAGACAAAAGATCAATGAATGTGACCTTCCAGAGTGGTGCAATGGGACATCCCACCAGTGCCCAGAGGATGGATATGTTCAGGATGGAGTCTCCTGTAGTGGCAGTGCCTACTGCTATCAAAAGCAGTGTAATAATCATGACCAACAATGCAGGGAGATTTTTGGCAAACATGCAAGGAGTGCATCTCATAACTGTTACAAAGAAATCAACTCACAGGGAAACCGGTTTGGCCACTGTGGTACAAATGGTATAGAATACCTGAAATGTAATGTGTCCGATGTATTTTGTGGGAGAGTCCAGTGTGAAAATGTGGAAGACATTCCCCATCTCCCAGATCATTCTGTTTTGCAGTATATTTACATCAATGGTTCCATTTGCTGGAGTACAGACTATCATTTGGGGACGGGCACACCTGATGTTGGAGAAGTGAAAGATGGCACCATCTGTGGAACAGGAAAGATCTGCATACACAAGAAGTGTGTCAGCCTGTCTGTCCTGTCACAAGCCTGCCTTCCTGAGACCTGTAATTTGAAAGGGATCTGCAATAACAAACATCACTGCCATTGCAACTATGGGTGGTCCCTGCCTTTCTGCCTGCACAGAGGCTATGGAGGCAGTGTTGACAGTGGTCCAGCAGCTCCCAGAATTACAGTTTTCTTACCAACAACTGTGATTATTCTGTCTATTCTAACTTGTCTGTTGACTGCTGGACTTTATGCATATCATCGAATACATGCTGGTCCTAAGAATCCTAAAGACTTGTTCTCCAGATGAAGACACCATCGCTAACTCAGTATCAGTTTCTTGGTTTATAAATTTCACATGTATGATCTGAGCACATTTCTGACAGTTTATAGAAAAATGCATATATCAATATCAGAAACATTGTCATCAAGTACAGGCAATGCTTCATGAGTTCCTGGCTATTGTTCATTGTTTTCATCAGCCAATAAAGCTCCACAGGAAATGATAAAATCTCTACCACATAATTGTTTGGATTTATTTGGCAAATGAAAGAGAGAAGTGAATGCTTGTTAAATATAAATTGTTATTTGTATAATTAAAAACTCCTAACACCTTTTTCCCTGTGTGTCTGATGGCCAAGCTCGCCTATTCTTTTTCCCTTAATCTGGCAGTTTATGGATCCTTTTGAAGTATTTCTGTGAATACCGAAATATGAATCCCATACTAGGGCAGGAATATTTTTATCTGCTTTCTTCATTACCCTTCCAGTGCTTGGCGTGGTGCCTAATTCAAACACATGTTTGAATGAAGTAATGAAATGGCCTATTGGTGCATAAAATATTAAATCACAACAAAAAGAATACCTGGATTGCCACTTTGGACATGTCACTCTCGTCCTCTTTCCAAACCCACTAGAGAATTTGTTCAACCTTCAACCACGAATGCTCAACACACGTTTATTTAAAATACTGCTGTTTATATCTGGTGCCCTTTGCTGGTTGTTTGCACCCAGTTTGTCTTATCCTTAGTTGATTCTCTGCATTTTAAAAAGCCTGACTTTTGAAATCATAGATCTAGTCAGATATCCATTATATTATCAAGCTAATTTCTGATTGACACTATGTAAATTGAGTTAGTTGGCCTTTCTGACATAACTGTCCACTACACGTTGCCACTTTTCACTTTGCCACTTTTGCATCCTGTAGTCAGTTTCTGTTTAGAACATATTGGCTGTGTTGTCCTTGCACAGCTGTCTATATATGAAATTTCCATCCTAAAATGCTTACTGACTTCTGCCATGCCTTTGTCCTTGGAAATTCTGATTTTAGTCCCAGTGGAGATTTAATGCCGTATCTTCGGAAAATAATTTATGAACTATTAGATGTTTCACTTTGTGCCCTTGTTACTTTGTGGTCATGCCTTAATTGTTTGATGCATTCTAGTATAAGATAAGGACAGGGGCTAACCATGTACCAGCTAGTCACAAAGATGAAAAGGACAGCTAATGAAACCATAGAAACAGAAGTGTGAACCATGAATATAATATAGTTAATTAACCTTGGCTAAAAAAGATATACCAGAGAAAGATTCACTTGCTTTAAGTGTGTATATCCATACAGAGACAAAAGGCAGGTGTTCTAATTTGTTGATTTTCAAAAAATTGTTTATTATACAAAGCTTTGAAATAGATTGTAGCAAAATGTATCAATCTAATATTATTTTATTATTGCCAAATTTTGTGTTTATGTTTGAGATTACTTTGAAGTAATCCACTGTTTCCTGGGATCGGA